GCCATCTCTTCTTCATTGGTTCTTACAAATGGTCCCCATCAATGGCTAAGAACAGGACACAGACCAAATACATCACAATAATGAGTTAATTAGTAACAAAAAGCAAACACACAGACAGGCACTGTTGCGTGCAGCTTTGAAACTGTCCAGTGTCAAATCTTGCTTGATCATGGATCAGCACAACAGCTGGGAATTCACTCTTAAATCTCTTCTGAATGTTCTCTTTAGTCTTTCTGCCAGTACTGCAACCGTTCGTTTAGGGATCTAGGGACCTATTTCGTCAGCTGCCATGACGTGATATGATGATTACACGCATGGGGATGAGCAAGCTTTTGTTTTAGTTGGTTATTTGTATGCTTTCTTCATTCTAAACAATTGCATATTATATCCTGATTTTATAAGAAGTGACAACTGATAATAAAACAATTATACTTCAGTGTGAACAGCTGTCTCTGTAACATTTGTAATCTGAAAGGAGTGTTTGTCTGGTCTCACATACATCATGTAAATGTCCCCTCTGTGGGACTAATAAAGGTATTCTGATTCTGATTCTGATCAACGGGTGCCAGTTGAACTTCCAGAAACTTCCAATATTTCCTTGGAAGAAAGAAGTGTAGCAGTATTCATAATGGCTTCCACCTTGCCTTTGATACTTCAATTCCACTCTTGCCTTGGGTTACTCTTAAGGGGTCTCTTTTTAGTAAGAAACAATTGAGACCGCAAACTAGATAATTAACCCGTAAAAATATATAAGATTACCATCCATGACATTTTGAGGTTGAAGCTCTTTTTCAGACATGGTATATGAGACATATCTTAATATACATACTATCAGGCCAGAGAACGGGATGGAAATATTGTCAATGTAGCAAAGAGTTTATGTCAGAGCATTGCAGTATGGGTTAGATCCATCTCTGTTTGAGTACCTGTAGACAATTAGGTCTAAAATGCTATTCTTCTGTAATCACAGTGTTTAATAGTGAATTTCCAGCTATTATTGTTGATGAAGTTTTAGAACTCATTCAGTCTGTAAGGTCATAGCCAGCAAGTTAATGTTTTGTTATCATTCTGTTCTTCCTGTTTTATTTTGTTACTCACCTCTCCTCTCATTTCAGTATCACCACTTTCTAGGGTTCTTTCCTTTTCCTTGTCTATTTTGGTTGCCTTCCTGACCAACCGTGTACTGAACCTTTGCTAAGTAAATACTTTTTTTTAAACTAAAACCTCTGTCCCTAAGTCATGCTATTGCGTCCTCGACCTGTGTTCACTCAGTCGTTACACAGTCAGTTTCAAAATTATTTATTGTAGAGAAAATGTCATCACTGCCCGCGGGTACATCTGCTTTTGTGGATCTTTGGGAGGGTGTATAAAACTGGTGTGACAAGGGATTATACTGTCATAAAAGCATGTTCTGGTTTTGTCATTTGTTTTCACATCTCCAGGAGCAATCTCCACTGAAGTCCAGAAAAAGAAGGTGGCATTGCTTAGTTGTTGGTAAATTACATGTTGTACAGTCCACGATGACAATGGCTCCAACCTCTGAACTATCGATTTCAATGGAGTTCATTTCTATCTTCTGATTTTTACTTAAGTCCTCAATCATCTTGTATTTCCTTGTTTTGCTTAGAAGATGGAAGACATCCTTCTATACTACTCTGCAGTATGTACTGTATGTATTGATGCATTTCAAATTTTAGGGGGGATAAAGGTACTTTAACCTCTAAAAGGATTACATACTTCAGCTTAGAGTCTTGACTTGGCCTCATTTCATCGCATTGTTCAGCAACTATTTACAAATCCCTTCGGGCCACGTTACCTCACAACAACCGTATAAGAGTGGGAGAAGCTGTAATAATGCCACTTCAAAACTGTTTCAATCTAGTCCGAATGTTTTAGGAGGCTTCTAAATAAAGCAAGTTCCATAACTTTACCAACGCTAATAGTCACCATCGGAAATTCGTAATTGACAATGATGAGCACAACTTTTAGGCAGCCTGTCTTCAGCGACTCGATCAGATTTTGTTCTAAGCTATACCTTAAAAGTGCTGACAGAAAACTTCTATTTTGTGGAAAATCTTTCAATCCATTCAACATTAGTCTTCCTATAGTTCAGCCGCAATCGCAGCATCTATAGCTTCAATAGATTACCAAGCTGCAGACCAACAGAAACATTTTCAACTAATACATAGACATGAAGGATTTGCACCTGTATAAATGCTTTGAAAATGTATCACAAGGTCTTTACCAGGCAAATAATTGTAATCCATCATGAACCCATCACCTTGGCAGGATATAAGTAATCTGACCCAACACTCAACCATGGTTTTACCACACAACCTGGGATTGTTTACAAGAGACTACCCAATCTTCAAATAATGAACCGGCCTGATTTCTTTGTATACTATCCTGCACAGTAATTACAGATGAGGTATGCCAAAGATGCAATTTCATTCACAAAGCCACTGCATTTATTCACCTACGAACAGATGCAATTGAATTGCATTTCATTCAAGAATCTCACAAAAACATTTTCAGATACTTTGACATTAAACTGGTTAACTGGACTCAGTGGAGCTTTACTCTAAACCAGGGGTGTCCAAACTTCTTTTACTGAGGGCCGCATACAGAAAAATGTACGAATGGCTGGGCCCCTCACTAGAGATGAGGTATATTGCCTCATTAGTTAAGTTATAAGCTAGCAAAATCAATCAAATGTAGGCAAATTATGCTTGATACTTATGCTTTAAGAAAAAAACAGCCTTCATCACAGCTTTCAATAATCTAGGGTTTAATTTATTTTGTTACAAAAGCTTATTCCTTAAAACAGAAGCCTCAGATTGCTTATAATAAGGGGAAATATGAAGGGTATATTTCAAGCTTACTATGTAAATAAATTATTGGGCTTTTTTTTATCAACTAAGGTTCACTGAATTTATTTGAAAAACTACTCTTATTAACACCTGAATACTGTGTAATATATTTGTACATATATATTTAAGAAGTACAACATAAGACAAGCACAAGTTTCATGTGTGGGCCATATTCTATTATACTTTTAGAATTTGTTGAGGGCCATTTCAAAATTGACAACGGGCCACAGTTGGCCCCCGGGCCGTAGTTTGGACACCCCTGCTCTAAACAGTGGATTTCATTACTACATCATGTTTATGACTGTAGCCAGATTGTGTCTCTACATCAAGGGGGGATTTGAGAGCTTCTTTTATAGGGTGATAGTTTTTTATCTCTCTGTAACTCAAACATTATTATTGCCATGGGCGTAATTTCCACTGGGGACAGGGGGGACATGTCCCCCCCACTTTTCAAAATCCCATTTGTGTCCCCCCCCACTTTTTTTTTTTTTTTTTTTACGCAAGCGGTCATCGTCACGGAGGAGCGTCTGTGTGTGTGTGTGGCACGAGTGCATCTTGTGAGAGAGAGATAGAAAGAGAGAGAGACAGAGAGAGAGAGACATAGAGAGTTACGGGGGTTGTTGTTAGCATTTGGTGCTAGCTCGGAGCTAATGGAGATTAGTAGCTGTTTCAACAATAAGGAGAGGGAGAGCTCTTTCCTGTCGGACTTTGAGAGACAGAGAGAGAGACAGAGAGAGAGATACAGAGAGAGAGATACAGAGAGAGAGAGGAGAGAGAGAGAGAGAGAGAGAGAGAGAGAGAGAGAGAGAGAGAGAGATAGAGAGAGAGAGGAGAGAGAGAGAGAGAGAGAGAGAGAGAGAGAGAGAGAGAGAGAGAGAGAGAGAGAGAGAGAGAGAGAGAGAGAGAGAGAGACTGAGAGAGTTACGTGGGTTGTTGTTAGCATCTGGTGCTAGCTCGGAGCTAACGGAGATTAGAAGCTGTTTCAACAATAAGGAGAGGGAGAGTCCTCTCCTGTCGGACTGAGAGAGATAACGTCAGCTCAGGGAGGTAAAGGACTCTCTGAGTGATTAGGTTGTAAACTTTAGTCTAGTTATCTCAGTGGGTCTCAAACGGTTTGGTCATCTCTGTAAACAAATATTTCCATCTATGTAATATATAGTTGTATATAAAATAAGTTAAGAAATCCTTCCAATGTGTACTATAGGCCAGTACAAAAATAAAAAACACAGTTTGAAAGGGGAGTGATTAGTCAAATATGCATAAATAAAAAGAAAAAATGCAGACTAGGTAAGATAAAGATAGGAGAGAGGAGTTTATCAATGATTTGTTATTGGTTGTGAGCATATTCTAATGGCATTTTGATTATTGAAATATATACAGTTCTGTTTCATATGAGTGTTGAGAACTGTATCCATAAATCTCTTAATGTTGCCCTCAAAGTGCACCAGATTGATGCATTCAACTTCAATTTAAAGAAACAAATCTTCCCGGGGTGCATGCCCCCGGACCCCCCTAGAGGATGTCAGGTAATCACAAATAAAACAGGTTCACATGGATAGGATACTAGATAAGTGTGCACACTCATTATATACACTACACATTTTTCTTGGATTTGTTAACACTATAGTCCCTAATATATTTGTAGAAAGGCAGGAAATGGAATTAAATTGAGAAAATATTTCATTGCGGAGGACCCCCTGTTTTGTGTCCCCCCCACTTCTCAAACCAAAGTTACACCCTTGATTATTGCACACAAACTGGGATTGACTCATGTAGCAACACAATATTTGTGAGTTTTACAGGCTGGAGACAGCCAGATTCCCGTGTTTCACATCTTCAAAAAATGTCAACCCGGTAGTCTACAAAGGTTATTAGTAAAATACGAGTTCACAAGATACAAAGGAGAACAAATTAACTGTAAATAAATCTAGAAAAAAAAAGAAATGGACCAAAGCTTGACAAAATCTTATAATAAAAGAGCACTTACTTCAATAAGCTCAGTGTCATGAAAGTTGTACCTGTACATTAAGAAAATGTAAAGTGAATATAATATTTTCACAATTTCTATATATAAACTAAACTTAGTTTTAAAAGGTTTTCTAACTATATACGTTTTTGTTCAGGCACTAGTTGGCGGTCACCGGCGGTCTCTCAGGACCCTTCAGATCAACATGGCGACCACCGGATCGAATTCAGCTCTGTTCGTCTGCTTGGGTAAGAGATGGGATTTAACTCCAAATAGGCCAATGTAATCCTCACAGGTGTGACAGTATGAAACAAGCATTGCATTTGACCACTATACCAGTTTAATGTATATTAGTAGTTTATTGTGGTGCAAGATTTACTGAAGAGCGCTAGCTAAAATGGTGCAGCTAACATTAGCTAAATTGTTATTGTGGACTTTAAACTTTTCCCCAAATCCATTTTAGTTTGTGCATTTGGGCACTTGTGGTGTTCAGCAAAGTGCGATGGAAAACCTCTTCGTGCGTTTTGTTAGTTTGTATATTTGCACGAAACTTTGTCGCCATGCAGCGTCCCGGAAGTGACTCTTCAACTGTCAGTTGAAAGTGAAAGCTGCTCGCTTATGACTCTTATCAGGAAAATATTTGTTTGTATTTGTTGTTAATCCTGTCAACATTATAAAGTTACAATTCCAAAAAACAGTCCAAAGTTGCTTTTTTGTTCAGTGATGTAACATTAACGTTTTTTTTGGGGGGCAAAATACGTGGATTTGTTGAAGACGACACGTTCAGAAACTCCAGTTAAATGTTTCCTGATGGTTTGACAATATGAATGAGATGATAAAATGATATCAGCCTATATCGTGTTGACAGGCTAAAATGTATTAAAAAACTAAATTCCAAATGTGAATGTTTCCTTTAGTTAAGCTGTAGAATTTGAAATGTATTTTCTTGACTTGCCTACAGTGCCTTAGATAATGCAATCTGTTTGAGGCTGTGTAATTGTATCATGCTATTTTGTTGTGAAATTTGGTGTATTGTTTAGCTTTGCAGCTTTACTTCTTTATACATATCAAATGTGTGTATGCTACTCTTAGTATACCATAGTATACCATATACCAAGTGTTACATTATAGTGTAAAATAGTTCTTAAACCATTTTAATATTGAAGGGTTAACCCTAACCCTGTGTATTTGGTTTTAAACAGGGAATATTTGCCGATCCCCCATCGCTGAAGCAGTCTTCAGGAAGATGGCAACAGATGCTGGCGTTGTCGATAAGGTAATGTCATAATTCATTATAACGGCCTTCATCACAATATTTCACCTAGTTTTTATACCATGCAATACTCATACATAAAGTACTAATGTGTGATTTGACGGAGTAGGTGAATAGTAAAATAGTTCATTGTTGTCAGAACTAATAATAAATGACAGTAACCCAGCTGCATCCTCTGAAGATCATGAATGAGGGCAAGATTTGTTTCAGAACATTTGTCCTGAATTTCAGCTTTTGAGGGTCTAATCCTCAAAAGTAAATTGCCTTCAATTCTGTATCACCCACTACATGTCTGTAAGTGAAAGTATGAACAATTTTTGCTGTGTTATTGTTCCCCGTGCTCTGCTCTGCCTAGTGGAGGATAGACAGTGCTGCCACCTCCACCTATGAAATAGGAAACCCTCCAGACCACCGCGGTCAGGCCTGCATGAAGAAACATGACGTGCCCATGAAGCATGTGGCCAGGCAGGTACGACCATCCACTTCTATCTCTCTTAGCCGTAGTTAGCGCCCCCTTTTCTGTTCTCTGTTGTTGCAGTGGGTCATAGACAGTGCTGCCACATCTGACTGGAATACAGGCAGCTCTCCGGACGCCCGAGGTCTGGCCTGCCTAAGGAAGCACGGCATTGAGTCAAGCCACAGTGCCCGCCAGGTACAACCAGATATACCGTGGCTCCTCTCAGCTCATTCATGTTTGTTTTTATGAACGTGATGTTAGTAAGATGAGGCCTACTAGGCATCAAGGGTTTGTTGCTCTGTCAATTAGCATCCAATTAGCTTCCTGTAGCTGTCAAGTTTTAATGAATTGCTGCTTTTAGGGGTTTAACCCCCATACGAAGCTACACATTATTGCTTTGTTAAAATAAGCACAGTTTTATCTGAACTGGAACATTTAGAGAAAAGCCAAATAGCATAAGTCTATGTAATAATGATGTGTGTTTGATCTTCTTGTCTTCCTTTGAGATTTTCCAATTTAGTCTGTTTCATTAAAAATTAATTATACCTTTTATAGCTTCCTCATATTTTTAAATAAACGTATTATTATTATTATTAATTTGCCCCTTTTGATTGGTTCAAAATGTGCAGCAGATTTAAATTATACCTCAGATACAGTGACCTCTTGGGATAGCTCGGTGAAATGTACAGGACACAGCAGGTGGTTCAAACATGGGGTTAAGAAGATCACATGACATGTTCCAGACAACACTTGTTTAAACTTTGTCTTAAAATATAAACCGCAGCTAATCCAGTGACAGAGCAACAGCCCTCCACATTTCAGCATTATTTAGTGCTACTTAAACAAATATATCCTTACTGGGATGTCAGGAAGGAAAGTAGCAAAGCTTATTATTAGCTTAACATTTATTTTGCTATTATTGAAATAAAGTATCACTCAATATTTAATTTCTACAGTATATTTTAACGTTCCTCCAATTTATATGCAACCTGGTCAGTTAAAATGTGTGCACTGAGTACTTTACAAGGGTTTCTGATATGATCTGTTACACAGTAATGCTATTATCTTGGAAATATATGTTATGTGTTTTTGATTATGTGTGAAAGTGAACCCGTTTGCCGGGCCTGTCTCTATGTTGCTGTTTTAAATTATGGCACCTGTGTGTGCGAAATGTGATTGCATGTGTTGAAATGTACTGAAACAGGTCTCAAATCACACCAAGATGTTTGCCCATGTAGGGCCTTCAGGCCTTATGGTGTGCTGGCTTATCCTCAGCGCCCTTAAAACCGTTTTATGTTTCCCTGAGAGAACTTGGGGGTTTCACCGTGTGCTTGAGATCTTCCGTCTCGTTGGTTTGTCTCTCTGCAAACCAGTCAGACCCTGGTCTAATCTCCTCAAAGCGGGGAAGGGGAGGCTCACCCCCTGGCTTAAGACCAGTCAAATCCACACAATGAGCTTTTGAAGCTGTTGCTCTTTCCTCTTCAGCACCCTTTTAATTTATATTATTGGCTTCTGCTACCACACTCAAACATTCTTGTATTTGTAACAACTTTTCAGAACTTCTGATGCTGCTCAAATAAAGAGAGATGTTCAAGCCAGCACGATCCAAACATAATCCATAACAAATGGAACATTTAATGCAATGTCAGAAATGGACGACCCAACATTTAGATTTTATAGATATATATAGTTTTAAACTATGACAATCTGGAGACAGCAAAAGGTAGCCCTGTATTCATTTAATTGGTCGGTATATACGTATATGTCCATTTTTTATATCTGGTCTCAACTGAAAATCTATTTAAACATTTGGTACTTTTTATTTATTTGACAAAGTAAGCCTTTTATCACAGCAGACATTTTGCCTTGGCCTATAATTGATAGAGTTTCTTTTACTAGATTTCATGAAAACCGCTCTTTGCATCTTTCAGAATTGACAGTCTTTGAACATGTTGACCCTGCTATGTTCTTCCTGCTCTTATACTTACATTAACAGCTTCCCAGCTTACTCTCAGCCAAACATGTCTGAGATACTCAAAACCAATTTTTTTTAAATAAGGGATTAACACTGAGGGTGTGAGAGAACAAGGTATACATGAGTGGAGAGATCAACAGCTGCTGTAATTATCGCCATCACGGATTACCACCCAATGCTGGTGGGTGTTCAAATGGAAAACAAAGTGAACGGACATTAATGGCTATAATCAGACACAGTGGGATAAACATGGATATCCTAATAAACCTCTCTTTACTACACAGCTCTTACATCAATGACCACAGCAACTGTGTCAAACATCCGGAGCATTGCATGAGTTCCTTCCTTAACAGTTATCTGCCAGACCAGATCGGTCTGGCAGATAATTGTCGTAACTGTGGGAACAGCATTTGCAGTTTAATTCAAAAATTCCTAAGCAGCTTTTTTTGTTAAAAATGCAACAGTAAATGTGTTGGGCATCTGTTTACAGTTCAGCTAAACAAACTCAAGTTATTTTAACAAAGAAATCAGTCAACAATAATCTGATAGCAGATCTCCACACAACAGCAGGTCACAGTGAAGTGTGTTACCTTGCTGAGGTGTTCGAGGGACTGATATGGTTTCATTACTCGCACAATCTGAAAACCATACAGTCAAAATTAGAGTTTTGTATTCACATCTTAATGAACAACTAGTGTCAGAGCTAACCATGGTGACCGCTTCAAAACACTTCCTATGACTGCTTTACTATAAAAGCCAGCCCTGTGTTTGTCCTGTTGACAAACAAAATGTTTCAATTCAGTGTTACCTCCCTAAACTCATTGGGTGTTTCCTTGAGGTCTAATAAACGTGTGGAATACATTTCCTTCCACGAAAAACACTTGCTTTGATCCTGCAGTGCTAGAGGTCAAACACTCTGCAGGAAACCTTTTAGCTCTGATGCATGGCTAAATGGAGTGAACAATAAAGTGTGAGTCTGTTATCAATTAGTTGAACTTGAAAACTGAATTGCTGGAATACTGGCTTGTATCGTTTCCTGTCAATCCTTCGTGTGTGTGTGAAGGCACTTGAAATCCAGATTGCCACCACTAATGAAAACATTGATGTAGCGTGATCTATCCTTCAAAAACTCTGACCATGTATTTGTTTTAACATTCACAGGCTGTGATTTTATGAAAAATACATTTAACCTAATGTCAAATAACCAGTCTGTACTGTTGTGTTGGAAAAAGATTGATTATAACATTGAACCCACTCTGTTCCCACACAGAGCCAGAAGTCATATTTTCTCTGTTTTTGTTTTCACTTCCAGGTGACTAAGGACGACTTCATGAGCTTTGACTACATTCTCTGCATGGATGAGAGCAATTTGAGGTATTTGTATTTCACCCCACAGCAGCAGTGTTTAATATTTCTGTGAATCTGCTTCGCTTTAGGTAAAACAGTAGTCACTGTAAGCACTGGTGTCATTTAGTGTTTAACTAGAGGGTGCCTGGTATAAAAAAGAACATTTGCCTTGAGAGTGGTAAAACTGGCTTGTCCTAAACAAAATCTGGATAGTGATCTGCGCTACTCTTTCACATGGAGGTAAAATGGAGCTATAATTAACGTCTAGGTGAATGCTTTCCCTTTAATGAGCAATATCCTTTCTTAAGCTCTTTCCAGAGGTCAGGGGGAGGGATATTCTTTTGATACTTTGAACGTTTAGGGATCATTTTGAGATCACATGCCTATTGCAGATCTGATCTGTAAGCAGCTTACTGAGTTCTTTGGATGCCTCGTCTTTGCTCTTTGGGCAAGTTTTTCCCCTTTCTCTCTCACATTATGTTTTTTTCCCCACCAATGTTAAGCTGACCAGACTGAGAAAATAAGACCCTATCTGAGACAAAAGGCACTCTGTCCATGTTTAGTTTACTTTTAGCAACACCCCTCTCATTGTCACCTTGAACACGCTAATTAGTTGTTTCCCTTCTTGAGTTTTGATTGTTTTACTTTAGATTAGGATTGGCTTAAACAGATTTGGTTGTTCTGTTTTATTTCTCTAAAACCTTGCCTGATCTTATATAATTTCATAATGTGAGAGAGAAAGTTTATAACATGGATGTCATGAATATGGGGTTGTTATTTTCTGTCCGTTATTGGAAGTAAGGAACATGACAGCTCTGCATATAGGATAACATATGCAGACAAATATTTCTAGTCCATAGAGTCACATGTTAAGACATTTAAGTGTTTCCCTTTAAGTATTTTCGCGTGGATTTTAAAGCTTTTCTCATGTTTTCACAGTGAGTTGAACAGGAAAGCAAAAGCTGTGAAAAACAGCAGTGCAAAGATTGAGCTTCTCGGTTCATATGACCCAGACAAGCAGCTCATCATCAATGACCCGTATTATGTAAGTATTCAAGTAAATTCTCTGGTATAATGAAGATATTTGACATAATGACATTCTGAGCGTTATTATAGCAGCAAACATTTTGAAAAGATCAATTTAAGCTCTTTGTGACACATCATTTAATGTCACCAAGTGAAAAAACGTTTGCCACATCAACACTGAGAAAATGTAAAGCGGGGTTTACTTGATCAAAGCCGGTTCTTACACCGCGATGTCGGATACCTTCAGAAATCACAATTGCATATAGTCGTTCTGAATGGACCTGATATATCTCAAATATGGTGCACATATGAAGATAGTCTCTCTCCTGGTAGACATTCATATTGATGCGCTCATCTTTCAGGTAAAAACTAATAAATAGTTGAGGCATCATGAGAAAGGTAAGCAAGTACAGTTCAGAATCTTTTTTCCATGTCAATTCAGAAAAACGAATTCAAAGCTGGCAGTAAGGTTTTGTTCATGTAGGGTCCCAAACCTCATAGTTAGCAGCTAATCGAAATACACACTTTTCATGGCCTTTAAATCTAAACAAAAAACTTATAGCGATAGTGCATGCTTTATGTAAGCTGTGTCTGGAAATGACACAGACAAATGTAATGTTTCCTTTCTGCGAAAGCTGTGCACCTGTTCCTGACGACAGTTTTGGACAGGACATGTCTTCCTTCAGGTGCATGTGGCAGCTCTGGAGACAATTGAATCTCAGCTGGGAGAAATGGGATCATGTCCAGGCACGTTTCATGAAACAAAACACAGGGGACTGAAACTATGGCAGCACTTTTTCGCTTGCCTTTTCATAAACTATAAGTGTAATACATTATTAAATCCTCTAGCCTATTACACACTAGCATACATCGATTTCATTTGATTTGCTTGGACGTCCCTATCAGAAGCATTTTCTGGTTCAGCTTGGTTTGCATTGTCACGCTCTTTGGTTCACTCTTCTATTTTGTTCCTAACGTAATTTCTCTGCGGTTGAAAATCCTGCCAAATGATTTGGACATGCTGCTTTTATCCTGAGCGTTATGAGAGCGAAAAACAAGAATGGGAGAAGTGGAAGGGGTAAAAGTGAAATAAATTGTTAAGTGATGATATGCTGCCATCACATGTAGCTCTTAAAAACAAAAGTCTTGACTTTGGATGCTCAAACTTTAGATACTTTGAAAACATTTATTAAAGTATTAATTTCCTATGTGGGCTTGTTGAAACATGTGCCGCTTAAGATGTTTGCCAAGTAATTATGAATTTATGCTCAACTGCGGTGCTGTTTTACATTTAGTTGGAACATAAAAGAGTGGTTGGGCCGGGAGGTCGCGGTGAACCACAGTTGATGAGTCTTTTATTTTTTGTGGCAGATTTTGGCTTTGAACAGAACTTTTCTTTGCGTGGCAATTAGCATGAGTGTGTTCTTACAGCTATGTACCGAAGAAGGAATGAATGAAAACCCTTTACACTCAGTGTGGTTCAGATACATGACAGTTGGATTGTACTCCCTTGGAGAGTAACCACATGGCATGACAGTAAAGTGAGTAAAGGGGAGCCAGACATTCACAGTTAATGTGTCAGGGTAAATGAACACAGAGGCTTATTGTAATAGTGTGATTATAATGACAAACTTACAGAATGATTTCTTATAATTGCCATTTTTTTGTTTTCTTACAAGACATTAGTTTCATCCCTTATTACCATTAGAGACTTTAAAATCCCCTGACTACTTTCTTTCTTAACAGAACTTGATTACTTGTTATGCCTGTCACATAATCACCTCCAGATCAGTTTACAGAATCCAAAACATTTTGGCTGTGTCTGTTTTTCTGCAATAATAGTGCCAACATTTTAATCCAGACTGAAATACTTTGACAACCGTTGGATGGATTTGTTTGGAATCTGGTTCAGACTTTCATGTTCCCCAGAGGATGATTTGTAATGGTTTCAGTTTTCTGACTTCTTATTTAGTGCCATCATCAGGTCAACATTTCAATACTTTGGTTTACAACCAAATAATTACAAAACTAATGACATAATGAAAGCCTCAACGGTATATTGTGTTGCTAATAGGCTAACCTATCAGTAATCACAACATAGGAAGTTTGCTATGGTTATAAAAGGGTTTTCCAAAATGTTCTGAAAAAAGCCAACCAATTTGAACCTTAAAAAAATGTATTCAGAGAAAATGTTACTTGCCAAATTTCAAAGCTCACGTTAGGGGTACCGTTGAAAGCTCTGGGATGTGTTTTCTTCATCACTAAAACTATTTGGAATGTGAGCTGAAAATAATTGAATGTTGAGTAAGATACTGACAATTTATCATGTGTTTTATTTCTGTTATGTGTTTTATTATTGGATATCTGTTTCTCAGCTACTAAAAAAATCAAACGGATGAATGTAATGATTCAGCTCAGAACTTGGCTGAAACGCGTTTTAATATATCCATTTTTCCGTTTTATCTATCAGGGGAGTGACGAAGACTTTGAAAAGGTGTATGAACAGTGCGTACGTTGCTGCACAGCATTCCTGAAGATGAACTCCTAACAACATCCGACCTTAAATGACCTGTGCAAAATCAACCAAGTATTCTTCAACTTCGTTACAAAAGCACTAGTCAGTATATTGTAACACTTGTGTGCGTGTCACTGGAAGACCAGTAGGAAACACATTTGTTTCAGTGTTGTAAATGTTATACAAACCACACATTGTGTTTATTTAGGAAGATGCTGCCTAGATGAATTTGTAGAAATGAGGTGAATAAAGGAATAGATAAATCAGTACGACTACCAGAGACTTATTTATACACACAAATCATTAAACTTATCAATTTAAATATGTCTGAAGATATCCTGCTGACGATAATGCATGACTAGACATCTCTGAGGTCAAAGGCCGACACGGGTCAAAGCTAATGTTAGCCTAAATGCTAATCTTCCTGGATATTCTATTAGATGCTGCGTGGTTAGTTTATGTCCTTTGCACAGCTTGTTTGGTGTATGGCTTCTTTTATCTGACCTAATAAGACAAGATTCTTTTTTACAAATATTAGATGTCAAATATATCTGATTAAAAAAAAACCTGACCTGTTCACACTCAATTCCTTTTAACATTCCTCCTTTTAATAGTTACTAATCCAACTGTGCAGAAACCATCACTATTTAAATGGTGATTATAGCATGAGTAAGGACTCTTCAGAGCCAAAACAAATGATCATTAATTGGGATTTATCGACGCTCCTTACACCACAGCAAGGGGCAGCACATCAAGAAGGGATGTTAATCATTAGACAAGAATGGAATTTAGATTTAGGGAGGCTTACTTGTCAAGCAGGGCGTTAACTGGGAAGGGACTTTCATGGAAAGCAGAGGTAAATTGAGTGCATTTGTATGTGGTCCAATCTCATCTGTGCTTTATTTAGTGATGAAATAAAGACCATAAGGCAAAGTAATTCCCTATGTCTCCTGTAGTCCAAATGAATGATGGCTATGAAGTCGACTTAAAGAAAGAAATGGACAACTTTGGACACATGCTTTTAGCCCCTTGCAGAGCGTTAGTTGAGAAGGTCGATACCGGTAATATGCTTAATATAAAATGTACACTCAAAATAAGCGAGTAGCCTGGCTCTGTCTACCAGCTATCCTAAGGCTCAAACATCACATTCAAATTAATACACAAGGCATAATCTACAGAAATTACTATTTGTTTTTTCACATGGGTTTATCTCCCAGATATCACACTGGAAAACATTCATAGACTAGTGTCAGCAATGGTCATACATGTGGGAATTTTTAGGGAAGTCAGTAGAAGGTCTAAGGGTTAAGAAGTAACGAAGACATTGTTTTTTAAAAGTGATATTGACTTAACATGTTGTTTCTCTTTGGTTTAAAAAACAAAAGAACTTGGTGTTTTCCATTTCCATAATAAAAAATAACGGCTAAGGTCTCTGTTGCAGGTCCTAAAGTGTAATCTCAAAACATAGAATACAAATAAAGACAGTTTCATCCGAGTCTATTGGCAAAAAGAAAATGGTTGTGTTGCATTTTGGCTCTTTAAAGTTAAAGGAACCTCTTGTGAGTATTAATGTCTTAATGACCAAAATGTGCTGAACTGCTGTGGGAAGCTCTGCAGATCTGAAGTCGCAGGACTCGCTCCAGTCATGTGTTCATTCAGGGAACATTCCACATGTCAAGACGGGAACATAAGAGAAAGTACTGCACAAAACAAGAAAGACCACTCAAATTTGTACCAATCTTATAATTTATTTAAATATATTTCATTTTATATATATATATATGTATTTAACAGCCATTTGATAAATGCCAGCCACTTTAATTTACGGTAGATAGGTGGATTCCTCTTATGCTTTGCTTTACAGTATATACATATTTATCTTGTTTCATATGGCCAATAGTATGTACAATGAAACCTCGTGACAACTCAAAAATATAAATATAGACTTTACCACGCTCTACCAAGATCCACAGGAGGGCTGCAACTTACAACCACCAATTCCTTTTTTACCATGTCTTGCAAAGACACAGAGAAATGCTCATGCAATTAATAATGTAATCACAAGTGTTTCTCAGTGTGAGCACAAATGGGATAAACTATGCTGATGCCGGGGGTCAGCGAGAGCTTTTTCTCTGCGTAATGAGCAGTGCAGTAGAAGGGATGGGCTCAACCCACAATACTCCTACAGAGCAAATGAAAAAAACAGATCATATGGATTTTGCTCTTTTCTTAAAGAAATGACCAAAATAAAAATAGGTAATCCCTTTTTGTTTTGTTTCAGCAACATCTTTTTGGATGCCAGCAGGGAAATAGGCCCTGTTTTTGTTTTATCTCAGCCACTTCTCCACTCTTCAGTTTCACCATCTTTATCTTGGTGTGGTTTAGTTGGCTGGTTGCCTCCCTCATGGTGGCAGCCGACCATCGGGGCCCAGGCAGAGCGACGGGAGGCAATAATCCACTCCTTAGAAGTGCAGGTCTCCCTGAAGGGCATACTTTCCCTAATGTCAGTTGGGGCTGGTCAGAGAATATTTAGCTTCCCTCTCACTGTCCAAGGAACTTTTTCACCCCACGTTTTCTTTTCTTGTGAAGAACTTGTGTTTTGGTTTCAACCTGCAATGGAGAGGAAGTGAAATGTAACTTGGCAGTACTTAACAAAATATTTGATGTCCAAAGAAATTACAATAAATCAAGAAAACTAGCAGGCTGTACAGCACGCTTATCATTATTGAGATTTTCACACAGTGAGATTCAGCCCTTATTTGCAAAGGATTTAGTCTTAAAGTACTAAAACCTTATTTATTATTAGCTAAATATACTCAAAATCAATCATCTACTCTTACTTTAATACCATTTTAGGACTTTTACTTGTAGCAGCATTTTTTACTTAGTTGCAGTAAAACTAAGTCCAAATTGTCACATATGTTTTGATAATAATGAAGCGGCCAACGTCTATAAATACAAGTACAACACATGTAACCATGTTCTGTTTGAGGAAAGACACTACAGGCAAAAGCATGTTTTTTTTATTGCACTGGTGGTTTATGAGAATATGGGCTAACTTGCTTGATAAACAGCCTTTTTTTCCATTTAGCGGAAATAAATCATCTAAAATGAGCATTTACAGGTTTATTTTCCTAATGTGGATGTAGATGTATCCTGAATTCACCAAGATTAGCATAAACTAATGCTCTTTTGCATAGTTAAACATAATATTTCAGAGAACTTGTAATACAAAACATAAATGTCTAAATGTATATAACCAACTAGGTTCTAAAATGTTTACCAATAGTGTCTCCCTTTAGTTTAAAGCAGAATAACACATTTGTTTATATTAAAGGTGATATATGTTACTGTACCTTGTGTGTGCTACCCCTCTGTGCACTGCGGGCTGCCAGCTAGTCTTGTGAGAAGCCGTGCACATCTTTTGAAGTCTGAGAGAAGAAGATGAAACAGAGAGTATGAGTTGAAGCTGTTGATATTGGACTGACAAAGAGTCTTTCCTCATTTTGTAAGGGCTTACATGCAGGTATCGTGCAGTCTCTGGTGTGGTGGTAGAGTCTGTACACGTGCTTCCTGCACTTTGGACCGAAGTAAAGCGGACCTGAAAAGAAAGACATGCAGCCTGTGAGAACATTTCCAACTCTGGGAACCTGCAGTTACATCTGGTGTACAGCCATTACAGTTTGCAAGACTATCAATCACTCGTCTTGTATTTTTGCCTCAGCCATCCTCCGTCCAATAACATTTATTTCACAAAATGCTGACTTTCTCATACTCCTGACAGGACACTCGAGCACCAGTGACACAAAAGTGGCCTCACCTGTTATATGTTTTAGGAATTTCTCCTTCTTTCTGAAATCTCTGGGGAATACGCCTGTGGAAGGAGAGAAGATAGGAAAGGAAGTGTTAGATTTAAATAGCAAGTATTTCATTAATTGAAGCATATTTTCTAAAGGGTCATCCTTCACATCACCTAAAGTCTAAGTATCTTTTGCATAAATGTAAAACTTGGATATTTAGTAAGAGGCAAACACAAAGAGAAAATCATTGTAAAGCAGTTACTAAATATCTGCATGGCTAAACATATTTGTTGTTATTATCCCTTGTTAGTTAGTTCCATCAGTGTGCAATGACTTTGCAATATGACTAATATTCCAGTAAGCTAGATCCTTCATTAGGCTACAGGCTACAGCATCCCCTTGAATCCACCATAGTCCCGCCCAGGAGACAAGCCGTCACTCACCGACAGTCTGATCCCCTCTGTCTGTTTTCAGCTTGCGTAAATCATTTGGTTGCACCGCAGGGCTCCTCGCTGTTAACGGGGCTGCCGTTTTGGCGCTGTGGCGACCCCGGTTGTCCTCCACGTGTTTCACGATCTCTACCATCCGCCTCCAGTCCTGCTGCGCGTTCCTGCCGCCTGCAGCCGACTCCAGTGCTGCCGAGGGCGCGCTCTCGCTGCTATGGCCGGTCAGCGCGCACATCAGTAGCACCAGTGCCATAGTTACGTGTTTACGCAGACCGCTCATAGCTTCCGTGGAGAGAGAAAAAAGTGAAGTCCTTCTCCAACGCCTGTGGGAAAAAAGTTGAACCGGAGACCTGCAAAAGAGATCAAGCATGAATGGCGAATCAAACCGCTTCTCAATGACCAAGTTACACTTTGGTGTGCTGACTTTGACTGTTAGCCACAAAGCTGTCCAAATGTTTTTCCTACTAGGCCTACATACATCACATTCATTTTGAACTCAGTTGACAAGTAAAACCACATCACGTAGATCACAATTGATGTAATTTGTCATTTTGTAGGCTACTTTAATCCCTAAACTAGCCTTTATAATAAACATCCCACATCGTATTCTATCAAAGTTTTTCGAAATTGTGCTACAATGACTGTTGGTACACTTTTTTTAAACATAGTTTTAAAGGTTATTCTGTAAACTCTATTCTGACCTTAAATCAGTAGAAATATGATGCATGTTTATTAGTAACCTTTACCGTTTGTCTTGGTTACTCTGTTGTTGCTTCACTGTTTTCTTACTTTTTATTTGGGAGTTCCCAGATTTGTTTAGCAAATACAGTTGTTTAGGTTACACAAGATCACATATGAGCAGGACATTAAAACAAACATGTTTATATTTAACCATGAGATGATAGAAATGTAATTACCTTCAGGCCGATAAAGCGTTTTCAAATAGGTTACTGGATGAATACGTTCCGTGTGTCCAACAATTATGAAAATAGAAATAATGAACTGTGCGCAACTTTAGGATCCTGTTCCTGTCCGGTCCGAAGTATGTCCCATTAGAGTCTTCTCTTCTGTATTTAAAAATGGAGCATCAGAAGTCATATGAGTATTCGCTGAGCGTCTGTGGCCATCCTCTGAACACCGGCCAACTGCAGGGAGAGGGTTGACAAACCGCTGAAAGGTCCGGTGCTCAAGTCCTGAGTGCGTCCTCACTGAAGGAGCGGATCAGCTCACTTTTTATTCTGTCTCGCAGACGTCGTGACCTGTCCCCTGTGGGTTACTCCGCCGTGTCTGTGATAATAACAAGACACATAATTGGCACTCCTGAAGCGAAAAGTCCACTTGAGTTGACTGACCATCACTTGCACGCCGTGTGAAGTTCTCTGCGCACCCCTCCTTTCCGTTACTCCATTTATCTCTGCGATACGCAGTTACAGGAAGCGTTTTTCCAACTAATACTTCCAATGAAATTTCCAATTAGCCCAGCACACAGCGCAGATACCGGCATCGAAAGTCTCCCATATATCCATGTGATTCTCATAACTTCATTTAGAGCCATTGCGCACTTTACATTATCTTGGGAATTGAAACACAATTACGCACTGTTTAGGGATGATTCTGAGAAAATTAATTACTCACGTTTTTAAAAGTTAGTGCACTATACTTTCTAGACAAAACAACTGACTACAGCATAGTTGAGGTTTAGCCTACACAAGGTTTCTCCACAAGTAGCCTATAGTGGTTGCTACAGCTTTCTTTAAGTCAGGGCGTGTATTTGGATCTCTACACCCCCTCTCAGTCTGACCAGTGAGGCTTGAGTAGTTTACTCTATTATGAAAACACATTGAATGAAAGCAGCATGTTGCATAACTTTATGCAAATATAGTTCATGCATTGCCACGGGTCAAAACAATGAAAATATGACTTTAAACTTTGTGGAAGTCATCCCGGGAATACCCAACATACACTTTGTGTCTGAGTGCTGGCTTTTATAATAACTATTTGCACAACACCTCCGTTTTTTCTCTGCTAAGTATACCTCCTGTGACCGTATGTGAATCCTTGGTGCTGAAAGGACAGCGCGCACTGTCACCCAGCTACAACCCTCTCCTCCACACAGGGCACAGGCACTGCTCTGTGTATTCTCACAAGACATGAAGTGCCTCCCGGTATAAAGGCAGACAGGGTTCCTTGTCTAAACACTGAGCTGATTATATTTATCGACCAAAACGATGGCAAAAAGAATGGATATTTGGTTTCCCTGGTGAGTCACACCAAAATGATTAATCTTGTTTTTTGTAGATGAGAGATTATGCATCCAACTTTTAGGCAGCGTAATGAGACATCCAATAACATTGATCTGTGGTTTGAGAAGATGGTAAATCCATGAACAAGTTTTTGGACAGCAAATGTTACGTCATGCAGGTGAATTTAGATATTTATTGCACTCTTAAACCTGGAAACCAGTGTAATGACAGTAAGCATGGTGGATCTGACTTCTAACTTTCTTGCAGTGTTAAGAGAGAGAATCTAGCAAACAACCATAGTTATTAGACTATTTATGACAGCCAGGCATCCACTCATAAACTGTTCCAAATGGATAAAGTACACCTGCAGATATTTACCTCCAACACAGACTAGACTAACCTTATATACTTTTCCTATTCAACACATTAAAATGTATCAATTGGCATTCACCTTAAAGCTGCTCTGCAATGCCCACTGATCCCATTATAATTTAACATTAGGTATATGGTTCAATACAAACAGCAAATATTATATTACTCATCAGATAAAATATATATATAAATAAATATTGAAATGTTAAAAAATCTGCAATTAAAAAGGCAGCAGTTTCAGCAGAGGGCGCCATTCTGCAATCGCTGTTAAAATAATTAAAATGTTAATTGTATACAGTGGTGATAATAACAAACACTTACCCAGCATTTGGATGAATGACTTCCTAAATTCCTTTTTTCTTGTCACACACATTTTCATAAACCCTGCACTGGGGAGCAGTGTAGGGGTCTGGTGCCTTGCTCAAGGGCACCTTGGCATCACCCATGCCATGAACTGGCACCTTTCAAAGTACCACAATCTACACCACAAATCGAAACTAAAGAAGAAATAAATTACTCTTGTTTTAAATGACCGGTGACGAAAAAGCAGGGTTGAAGTGTCCGTGATTGTCAGTAATCTTGTAAATAGTCTGGCAAGCAGGTAAGTTATGACAGAGGAATTGTTTTTTAATTCTGTGAGTTTTGGCAAAGTTCAGTGGTTTGTTTTCATTCTTTTGACTGATGATAAGCATGTCTCTTGCAAACTGAAAAGTTTGACAATGTGAAGACAGCATTTAGGACCAGGCGTTCAACCTTGTTGAGCTGCTTCTTATTATTTTGCAATATGACCATGTCACATGTTGTCCAATATGTGTAACCCAATGATTCATGTCCATGTGATGTGGTAGTCACTGCTATAAACGCTCTAATGTCTCATTTTCCTTTATTTTCGAAACTCCTTGTGATATTTTTCTTCTGCAAGACATTTTAATTATTTGTCAGGAGGATGTGGTTGTCTTCCCATAAACGTGCTTCTTTCTTCCTGGATTTCTTGTCCAAGTTATGAATTTCACTTCCTCCAGTCTTTGTCAGAGTGCGAGGTCTTGATGTTGGCCACAGCAAAAGGAACTGCTTCTGTAATCAAGGATGTTAAACATATTTTCATTCGTGAGGGTTACATAAACTGACATCATTGATGGCTGTAACCTTTAAAATCCTGGGCTGGAAACAACACATGTTAAATTGTGTTCAAATAGAAACCATGTACTTTCCTTTCCTGAAAGGAATGTGTGTTTCACAAAAAACTAAGCATGATTAACATGTGCAAGTAGGCCCAGCTTAGAAACATGTTCTCTTCCATCTTTCATTTTTTTAGTATTTACCATGCTTTTTTCACACCCCAGAAATACTTATCACTGTCCGGGCCCCCTTTGTATCCATGTGTTTTTGGGCATAGAAAATCCTCCTAATAAGATAATCTTTATGACTCAATCTATATATTTTCTCTCTATATCCATCTTTCCAGATTCTTTATGTCTCACTCCTAATACATTTAGCATATGGTTGGCTTTTACTTTGCTATAACTTGAGCGCAGTGTAAATGATAAATGATGTTGTGTATCTGTTCAGTCAGTTAGCATATGTATTGAATATGGACTTTTAAGCCAGCCGTGAAAAGCTATATAGTTTATAGTTGGATACAGCTGTAAACGGGGGATATGATATTTGTAGTTGGCAAGCAGCTATAGTGAAAAGGAAGTGGCTTTGATAGCTTAAGGGTACCCATACATATGGTAATTGTTTTCATCAATCATTACTAGCTGTAGGTCGTCTTTTTCCCATTAATATTGACATATTTCTGTGTCTGAGAGCATTTCTTGCCACCGCCTCTAGGTCAGTTGACGACTGCGAGATCACTAGCAGGAATGTATTTCTCATACACATATGAATGAAATAAAAAATGGGGACCCACTCATGAAATAAATGCTCCACACTAAAAGGACCCGTACAACTCGAGGCTAACGGGAAATAATGTCACTGATGCTTTCCACCCCAGACACATACTTTTACAATCACTCCATTGCTGTTCATCATGACTAAAACCTCACACCTAAACCTCAGTTTCTACTGGACAACTCGTCAACAAGGCCCACCTAACATTGAGCCTTAACCCCCCCTTCGGCACCCATTACACTCCTTGAACACAAGATATTTTCTTTTTAATCTATGCATGATTCTTCGTTGTTGCGCTGGCCCTACATTACCCCCAATGCCACTCGATCGCTAATATCTTAAATGAGATGTGTGACGGAAAATGGCAGCCAAATGTCCTCTTTGTTGACAGACCTTGACATTTCACTTCCTGTTTAGCAAAACTTTTAGTAGGCCAGCCCTCCCTGCCAATACTCAGTCAGGCAGACATTTGAGTAAATGTCTCTTCTATTACTAAAATGTGTGTTCAATTTAATGGAGTATTTCCCAAATGTTTTCAATTTTGTTTGATGATCGTCGTCGATGAAAGTCGTCCTTTTTTGATACGAGCATGTGCAGACCTGATTGACATAGGAAGGAAACAGGAGTTGTAGCCTTGTGATGGTAATCTAGGTAGTATCTGGAACAACAAAGTAGACAACAGAATAAATAATAAGTCTAAAGAGTCTGAGCAGATTTTACATGCACCTGGCAACAAATGTACTTCACAAGAAATGATGTTGTCAAAGATGGA